TCATTCTCCCTTGCTCCCGAAGGGATGAGACCAGTGGAGTATCTTAGATGGCCGCTCACAGGCTTTTAAGACCCCAGACACTACTCACCAAAGTAGAATGTAGAGCATTGTCTTTATAAGCTGTGTCATGCCAACTGAGCTAGATGTTCCCCGAGACCATGGTCCCCACAAGGGCTATCATGTTTTGAAGAAGAAAACTAAGAAGCTGAGATTTATTTTTAGGAAATCCCCCTCTGATGTCACAGACCTGAATTTCAGCTACTCTGATTACACTGGTTATTCTTCCTGAGCTATTCTGAGCATGCGTTATAAGAACTGTTACAAGAAAACAGAACCTTGGATTGCAAGTTTTCCTTCAAGATAAATTAAACTTTTTAAAGGTATTCAAATATTCTATTCAATCCTAACAAAGCCTCTGAATTGACACTATAAAAGTATAATCTTTCCCATACTGAGTGCAAAATTCCTCTTAAACATATTTCTTCAATGGCATCCACCTGTTCTACAGAATCCTGGAATAAAATAAATCATCAATTCTGTTATTACTTTGATTAATAAGGAGTTAAACTATAGGAAAATCTCTCAGAGGTGGTCTAAGACCCTAAATTCAGATGAATGTGGGTCAGTAATAAATTATAGTTACAGATTCTTGAGCCAAACTGTCAGGATTTTAATCTGGGGCCCACCATTTCTACCTAGGTGGCCTTGAGCAAGTTATTACTCTACTCTGAGCCTCCATTGCCTGTGAAACGGGAATAACCTCATAGGGTTGTTGCGAGGATTAAATGTTAACGTATACAGAGCCCTTAGGCGATCACTTGGCACTTAATAAGCACTCAGTAACAATTAGCTATTTTATAATGATGAAAGCACTGTAAGGGAGTAACTATTCTGCAAACCAAAGGGTTAGAAAACAGTCACCAAGACATCTAGCACAGTGCTTCTCAAGCTATTCTATTTCAAATCCCTCACAGGCTGATACTTTTGTAAAGTGCAAGATTATTTGCTTGGATGTCACAGCAATGTCAAATTGCTCTCAAAGTTTTTAAATGCTTGCTTTCACCTTCTGTACTTATCACAGTCCGACAACAAACAGTTCACAGACTGGCATTTGTTGGCAGACTGAACTTTGAGTAGCACTGTTCTAGCATACAAGACGGACTCTGAAAACACAACTAGCAGAGTTATGAAAACATATTTAGTAAAGAAAACCAACTCCACTAGCCGGGGCAGGAAGATGACTTGAGGGTCAACAAGCTGAGAGAGAAAATAACCCTAACAGGCTAAGCCTGAAAAACAAAACTGGCTGCCAGGGCAAAAACCCAACTGGTACTTTCCCCTATCAGTGCTCTAGGGGTGGCCCTCAAAAAACATGTTGGCCAGGAAGCATCAGCCCCAGAGGTGATGAGAAGCATGAAGGAAGTAGGCAGAACTGACTCAGATCTGAAGAAGCCACCCTAAGCCATAACCAAGCTTTGGGGACATCAACCACCACACACAAAGGCCAGAGTTTGTTTTCTGCCAAAGAAAACATGCAAATATTTCCCACGGTGACGTGAGACTGCGCACATGGGCACCCACATATACACATACATCCTCTGTTCAGAGTACCTGTGGTTTTAGGAGGCTCCTGAGGACCACCCTGCCAGCCGTACTGTGGGTATCCTTGGTAGGGGTATCCCTGAGGAGGTGGGTAGGGTCCCCCCATTGGTTGTGGTGGATACGGTGGGTACGGGGCTGATGGACCAGGGCCCGGATATGGTGGAGGGTTCCCTTGGTTCATCAGGGACTGCAAACTGTACCTAAGAGACAAACAGACAAAAATTATTTGCATTTAACCTGTGGAAATCATAAGTAAAAAAATTCCAACCCAGGAGATGACTTACAAAATACCTTAAAAGGTGGTTCAAACCTCTTGCAAATCTCTAGCTCTGCCCATTTTCTGTTTCCACCTCACATTACAATTAGCAATTATCTTATGTATCTGCTTACTTGCCTTTTGTCTGCTTCCCCCACTGGACTGCAGGCTGTGACAGCTGGGACCATGTCAATTTTGGATCACCATGGTGTCCCTAGAGCCTAGCACAGTGTCTGGCACAGGCAAGCCCTTCAATCAATGTGTTGAAAGAATAACAGGATATTGTTTTTTTGGTGTAGTGAATTGCTTTTATATGGCTCTTCTAACTATGGTCTTGTAATTCCCAGGAAATAATTAGGTGGGACTATGCAAATAAGATGCACAGAACCCTTGCCAGGGTGGGACTATGCAAATAAGGTATCTGTGGCCCACCAAGGGGATTGGTCAGTTTTGCCATCCCTCTAGGCTTAAAAACAGCCCATCCCAGAGGTTGAAGGGGGACCTCACTACCATCAAGAAGAGGAGCCAGGAGCTGAGTGTGTCCTTTGGACCCAGAGTCCCTGCGCTGAGAACCTCCTAGACCCAGGTGACAGAGAGCTGTAGCACTGGAAATGGTGAGAGAGAGGGAGAAGCTGCGGTAAGCACGGCCGAGTCCAGCAACAGAGAAACGGTGGTAGCAGAACCAGGCGACCAGCATAAGACAGTGCGGTGGGCTTGCCAGTCCACAAAGCAAGGCAGCTATAGTGGGTGTGCCAACTCACAGAGAGAAAGAGCTGAGCACCTTTGGGCAGGAGGCTTGCTGGCAGAGTACGGTGCCTCCAGGCACTTGTCGGCAGAGCTAAAGAGGCTCGCCAACCCACGGGGCAACGGAGCTGAGGTCTTTCGGGTAGGAGGCTTCCTGGCAGAGTAAGGTGCTTCTGGGCACTTATCAGCAGGCTAAAGAGTTGTAACACTTGCCTGAGTAGGGCAGAGGCGTGCCTGCAGGCACAGCCAAAGAAGAAGCTGTCCTGATTGAAGAGCTGTATCCTGAATTGTTCCAGTTACCTCCAAGTTGATCCTGATCTTGAATTGCTTGTAACTTGTTACTTCGCTAATAAATCGTCATAATCGTGAGTATGGTCTGTGAGTTCTGTGTGGCCATTGCAAGGAATTATCAAACCAGCAGAGAAGTAGAAAGTGCCGTGGGGAGGATGGTTGGTGTCAGAACTGGTAAAAAGGTTGGAGAGTGGAAGTATGTCTGACCTCCACCTCACAGGAATCAGCTTTGGGCTGATGGTAATGGTGATTCTCATTCTGATGTTACTCTTAAACTACTTTACAGTTTTACTTTCAAAATTCTCTGAAATGCCCATAACTGTGATTGGATAGCTCTAGAAGAAGCCAGAATTCTAACAGCACTGACTATGAGTCAGACCAGCGGAAGCTGTCATAGTACTAGAAACCATCCAATAAATATTGGGGTCTTCTAACAAGCAGCACTGACAGCAGCGGCCAGCCAATTTGTAACCACTGCTGTGCCCTGGACATGGGGGTGATCTGGTTGCTCTTCCCAGACTCCCCACTCTCACAACAAGTAATGTGCTCAGTCATCACTGGAGAGAGGGCAGAGCTGTCTACAGAGGATGCTTAGCATCTCCCCTGATCATTCAGGCTCCCAGGACTCTGGACGGCTCACCAGGAATCCCTACTTGTGTTCATAGGTTACTGTCCTCAGTGGTTTGCTTCTGTGAGGGAGGCCATCACTTCCCAGTCTCCAGTCTGCTAATCACTCTCTTGACTGGACTTGAAGCTCCTGAAGGATCAGCAGCATCTTTATTCCTGTTGCCATCATCTCTGTAACCCCCACAGTGCCTGGCACAATGACTTCCAGATTAAAAGCAAACAAACCATTATTGGGAAATGCAAAGTATATACTCTCTGGATGATTCATTTAGACAGCATTATAATATCTGCAAGCAGCCCTGGTGGCATTAACAGTTAAGTGCTGGGCTGCTAACCGAAAGGTTGGTGGTTCAAATCCACCCAGTGGCTCCGCAGGAGAAAGACCTGGTGATCTGCTCTCATAAAGATTACAGCCTAGGAAACCCTACGGGGAAGTTCTACTCTGTCACACAGGGTCACTGTGAGTCAGAATCGACTCGACAGCACCCAACAACAAAAACATGAAATCTGTCATGCTGTTGCCTTGTACTGTTCCCATCTCCTGTACTGATATTTAACTTCTTACCAATTTGAGTGTCTTCTACCTCCAACTAAATAGCAATTTCATAGAGGGAAGAGTCTATGAACTCAAATTCAGTAATATCACTATTCCTTTCATAACATGAAACAATAAACTCATAAGTGACTATGTATGAAGTACAGAATAACTACATTGTAAGATTCCCTAGAAAATCTGGATTAAAATAACAACAGTGGACTTTGCTAGTTGTCCACACAATATCCATATCCTCCTTTCCTAATGGTTGTCAGGCTTCCAGTTAGGTATCCATACATTCTTCCTGTAGTTCATGTGCTTCAGGGGAAGAAGCTCATCCCAGCTCCACAGTGAGCTCACTGTGATCTAAGCCAATCCAGGTCACCCTCTCCTCTTTCCTACCAAGACTGGTAGGCATCTCTTAGTCACTGGGAATGGTTCCAAAGTGGCTCAGTCAGCTCAAAGCTCAGGTATCTCCTGACACACTCCCAACCTGCCCTTCTCCATAACCCCCTCCCCCCTGACACACACACGCATAGTATAGGAAGAACATGGCCCACAGAATTCCTGACAGCCAATTTGCAGCCCTAAAAGGGCACCAACCTTAAAATGAAGTGGACACTGCAGGAAGGCAGAGCAGAAAAAATTCCTGGTAACTTTACAACAGTCCATAAATCAAAGACTGAAATCCAACTTAACCTAAACTACCTCTACAGACTTTCCAGTCCTGGGAACCAATAGTAAGGTAAGCTAATGAACTCTTCTGAGTGACATTCAACCAGGCACACATTTATGCAGTGCTGACTCTGTGCCTAACACTATGCTAAGCAGTAGGGTATAGAGATAAATATTGCTCAAACCCTTCCCTTGGGCAATTGATTGAAGAGATAAATAAAATGATAGTGATTTTTATTAATGGTTTGACTGAGACTGGAGGGACCCTGAAAGACATGGCCCCCGGACGCTCTGTTGGACCAGAGCTGAAACCATTCCTGAGGCCAACTCTTTAGACAAAGATTAGACTGGACTATGAGACATAAAATGATACTCATGAAGAATGTGCTCCTTAGCTCAAGTAGATATATGAGACTAAATGGGCAGCTCCTGTCCGGAGATAGAGAGGGTCAGGAGCTGGTTAAACGGACATGGGAAATCCGGGGTGGAAAGGAGGAGTGTGCTGTCATAGTACAGGGAGAGCAACTAGGGTCAAATAGCAATGTGTATATAAATTTTTGTATGAGAAGCTGACTTGAATTGTAAACTTTCACTTAAAACACCATTTAAAAAAAAGGGAAGATATTATGGAAAGATAAAAAAAATAATGATTTTTAGAAAAGGTAGTAAACTAACTGCTAGGTAGGAGTAGGGGCTTAAACTCAGTAGGAGGAGGTAGGGGTAGAGAAAGTCCCCTAAAGGAGGTGATTATAAACTGAAACTTTATAATATAGAATCAGGATGGCTTGATCGCCTCAATTTTGACATCTGTCCTCTGTCACCCATTTTAGAGACTCTCTTCTTTTTCCAGGGGCCTGCCAGGGTCTTAGAGAAGGCCTAGAGCTCTTTTCCTTCTCAGCTGTCTGGTGTGTGCCAACGTGGCATCACATCCTGACCTGAGAATGGCCTTACCCTTTAGACTAATGCAATGGCTCACGATGACTAACTGTTATGGACTGAATAATGTCCACAAAAATACGTGTTGTAAATCCTAACCTCTATGCTTCTGGTTATAATCTCATTTGGGAATGCATTGTCTGTGTTATGTTAATGAGTCAGGATTAATGTAGGGTATATCTCGAGTCAATCTCTTTTGAGATATAAAAGAGATTAAACAAGCAAGCAGAGCAGAGATAGGGGAATGGAGACACCAAGCCACATGAAGACTGCCCATGAGCAGAAGCTAAAAGAGGCAAGGACCTTCCTCCAGAGCCAAAAGAGAGAGAAAGCCCTCCCATAGAGTCAGTACCCTGAATTTGGATTTGTAGCCTCCTAAACTATAAGAAAATAAATTTGTTTGTCAAAGTCACCCATTTGTGGTATTTCTATTATAGCAGCACTAGATAACTAAGAATTTGGTACCAGAAAAGTGGGGAGCTTCTCTGATACTAAAATGTGGAAGTGGTTCTAGAATTGGGTAATGGAAAGAGGCTGGAAAAGTTCTAAGAAACCTAACACTAAAAGCCTAGATTGCCTTGAAGAGACTGTTGGTAGAATTACAGACGTCAAAGGCAATTCCGGTGAGGGCTCAGAGGGAAGTGAGGAGAGCCTCAGAGAAAGTCTCTATAGTCTCAGGGAATACATACTGTACCAGCAATAGAATGTTGATAGAAATGTGGACATCAAATGTTGCTTCTGGTGGTGAGGCCTTAAAAGAAAATGATATACATGTGACTGGACAATGGAGGAAGGACGACACTTTTTATGCAGTGGCAAAGAGCTTGTCTGAATTATATTCAAATGTTTGGTGGAAGGTAGAACTTATAAGTGATGAACTTGGATATCTGGCTGAGGAGATTTCTAAGCAAGATCTTAAAAGGGCCGTGTAGTTTCTCCTTTCTGCTCATAGTAAAATGTGAGACGAAAGAGATGGACTTAAAAATGAAATGTGCAAAATGAAAACAGAACTTAAAGATTTGGAAAATTCTGTTGTACAAACTAAGGACACGTGTCCTAGAAGGTTCACCAAGAACATTGCTAAACAATCTTTTGTGAAAGAAATTAAGCCTGTGACTGATGGATCTAACCAACTACCTTAGCAGAAAATCCATCAGCTTAGACTGAAGGGGACAGAGAAAGAATGAAAGGAAAGAAAGCTGTCTGCCTCTTGGAATTCTACAGGCAGAAAACAGGCCAAAGGAGTTACATCTGTTGTCCTCTGAGAAAAGAACCAACCCTGGAGCAGAACTGCTGGAAGGAGCATGGGAAGCAGGGCCTTCTTGGTTTCAAAGGGTGAGGCCATGAGGCCACGGTCTCATGGATCTCAAAGGGTGGGGCCACAGCCTCCTAGGTTTCAAAGAGTCAGATCTTTGCCAGCAGAGTTCTGGAGTGTGGGGCTGCCATTAAGGTATGCCAGGAGGATGGGGCTGCCACCCAAAGCTAAGGGGGTGGGGCTGCCACACCCAAGGGGCAAAAGAAAGGGGCCTTCCAGGGCCGAAGGGGTGGGGTCACCACTCAGATGGATTAGGAGAATGGGACTGCCCAAGCCGAGGGAGCAGAGTTGCCATCCCAGTGGGCCTGAAAGGCGAAGCTGAAGCCCAGGGCCCAGGGGCCTCCACTGAGAACCCAGAGGGCGTGGCCAACACCCAGAGTCTGGAGGGCAGGGCCATTGCCCAGATGGTCTCAGAGAACAGAGGATTATTTTCAAACCTGGAGAGCTAATGTAATTTATTCTGCTGGGTTCTGGACTTGCTTGGTGCCTGTT